TTTCCCTTTCCCATCCTCTCCCTCCCATCTATCCTCTTACCTACTCCCTCCATCACACCAAACCCATTTCTCTCCCTTCCCCCTCATTATCCAATTAATACATCTCCTCTCCCTCCGCCCTTTGCTCACCACACATCCATCTCACCTCCCGTCCCTCCTCCCCTGCTCCCTCCTCCTCCCACTTTCCTCCTCCTCTGCCACTACTTTCTTCTCCTCTACTCACTTTTCTCTCTCACTCCCACTCTCTCTTCTCTCTCATCTACCTCTCTCTCTCTCTCTCATCTCTCTCATCTCTTCTCTCTCTCTCTCCTCTCTCTCTCTCTCTTCTCTCCTCTATCTCTCATCTCTCTCATCTCTCTCTCTCATCTCTCCACTGCTCTCTCTCTCTCTCTCTCTCAATCTCTCTCTTCTCTAATTCTCTCTCTCTCTCTCTCTCTCTCTCTCTCTCTTCTCATCTATCTATCATATCTATCTCTATCACTCTCTATCTCTCTCTCTCTCTCCCTCTCTCCTTCTCTCTCTTCCTCTCTTCTCTCTCTCTTCTCTGCTCTCTCTCTCTCTCTCTCGTCTCTCTCTCCTCTCGTCCTCTCTCTCTCTCTCCCCAGCGTACCATCGTTTCTGAGGCGTTCACATCCCATACTTCCTTACCAACCACCTTAGACGCGCCTTATATTTCTCCTTCCCTCCATCCTCTCTCCCACGTCCCTCCTTCTCCTATCTGCCTCCTTCTCCATCTCCTTTCCCTCCCTCTCCTCCCTCTCCCTCTCTCACCCCTCTCTCTTGATTCCTCTCATCATTCTCTCTCTACTCTCTCTCTCTCTCTCTCTCTCTTCTCTCTCTCTCTCTATCTCTCTCCTCTTCTCTCTCTCTTCCTCTCTCTCTCTACTCCCTCTCTCTGCTCTCCCCGTTGACCATGTTTCCTCATGACGTCACATCCCCATACTATACCTCTCCACCATCCTAATAGACGTGTAGTTTCTTCAGGCGGAGCCGAAAAATAGCCCGCGTCACTCCCAAAGGCGTCCACGCACTGCCCCCTACCTTGGCTTCCGGTTCCTCTCACTCCATATGTGTCCTTATATCTACCTTAAATCTATCTTATATCTGTCTGTTACCCTGGCTTGCTTTCCTCATACCCGTACTGGTCTTATGTTGGATTATCTTTCTGTCTGTTTAGCTACTGTTCTGTGTATGAATTGTTTGCTTTTCTGTCACTGTCTCTGTCTTCCTGTTTGTCTGTCTTTCTGCCTGTCTTTCTGTTTGTCTATCGACCTATCTATCTGCCCTTCTGTTCCCCTGACCACGATGTGATCCCCCTCCTCATACCTCATACCTCCATCCATCTGTTTAGATGTTTTTTTCTCTCTATCTATCCATGTCTCTACATTTATTTTCCTTTTTTTCACTCTGCCTGTCAGTCTTTTTAAGTATCTATTCATCTGCCTGCTTAGTTAATTATCTATCACTACTTATAAATCAATATAATTGTATATCTATCTACCTATTTATTTGTCTACGTCTATCAGTCTACCAAAATATCTATCAGTTTATCTATCCATCTATCTCCGTTTCGTTTCCAATCACCTTAAATCTGTCTATCTATAAGCTTTATCTGTCTATCCGTCTCTTCTGCTTTTTCCTTGACTGTCTGTCTCTATCTACATATCTCTCTGCCTTCTCTTCATCTATTAGACTTTATATCTGTGTTTGGTTAGCCTTTTAATATGGATTTTAATTCTGGTTTCCTTTTTTCTGTCATTTTATTTATTTTTTCTTTTTATTATCTGTTTTGCTTTCTATGATTCTGATAGTGGTGCGTGTATGTTTATGTATGTGTAATATAGATGTATCATATAATGTACATGCTACAGAAAGAGAGAAGAGGAAGAGAGAGGAAGAAAGAGATGAGAGAAGAGAACGAGAGAGAGAGATTAGAGAGATGGAGAGAGAGAGAGAGAGAGAGAGAGAGAGAGAGAGCAAGAGAAGAGAACAGAGACAGAGACAGAGACAGAGACAGCGACAGAGAGAGAGAGAGAGAGAAGACAAGAAAGAAAGAAGAGAAGAGAGTATATAAAGAAAATACGGAAATACATATTAAGAATCTACGCATATATACGATATACCATGTACAGCGCATTACAGCTGTGGCTTACTGGTGCTGGTTGTGTATTGTAGAGAGCGTTAGAAAAACTATCAATTTCAGTAACACGTATCTGAATGTTACTTCACACGGTAATATCATCTCGTGGTCATTTGCATTCCACTAACACTACATTCATACTGAAAAATAGCGTTAGTTTAAATATTAGGGAACAGAAAGAGAATAAGGCGACGAGAGAGAGCGTATGGAGAGAGAGAGAGAGAGAGACAGAGAAAGAGAAAAGAGAGAGAGAGAATTCGAGGTGGGGGGAGACAGAGAGACGAGAGAAATTGGGTGGAAGGGAGATGAGAAGAGAGACAGAGAGAAGAGCTGTTGAGTGACGAAAAAAGAGAGAGAGAAGATAATACGAGGTACCCGCCGCAACCACCGCCAACTTGCCTAACAAGAAGACCCCAAGAAGACACGAGAAAGAGAGGAATAGGGGGGGTATTATGTATATCGGAACTCCTAGCAGGCACAGACGAACAGAGCACGAAGAGAGAATGGCGGGGTGTAGAGATATATTGAGAGAGAGGGAAGAGAGAACATAGATCAATAACATGAGAGAAGAGAGAGATTATTACAGACTACTAGTATATATATGAATGGAGAGACGAAGATGATGAGTGAGAGAGGAGAGAGAGAGGGAGATGGAGAGGGAGCGAACAGAGTATATCTATATCATATTAATGAAGACAAGAGAGAGATATCTCTATAGATATATGAGAAAGGAAGAGAGAGAGAAAGGGAGTACTATCATTCACTACCCTCGACCATTATTATCCCATCACCACCAGAATCTCCACCACCACCTCCATCACTGACATTTCTATCACTGTTATTATGCACCACTATTACTGCCAGAATCCGTACCGTCACTACTCTCTCACCATACACTCACCATCATCACCAGCTCCTACCTCACCACCATCCAAATCTCCATCATCGACACCACTACTGCCACCATAGCCACCATCCTATCACCATTCCCTATGCCACCATACGGACATTACCACCACCATATTCTCCTAAATACACACCAACAATCATCTTTCCTTTCACGAATCCTCCTTAGACGACTCCCACCACCCTACGTACACCACCATAACACCACCCCCTTACGTACCTACGTACACCACCATATCACCACCATACATACACCATCGCCGCCAGTACTCAGGAAGTGTCTGAATCTCTGGCCTTCTGTCTTGCACTTCCAGCTAACACAATGACTGTCGTGTGTATATAGGTGCAGACCTTGACTTTTGCTGTGGCCTCTGTCTGCGTACTCTCTCCCGTGAACTACATAAATTGTTCTCTCGTCCCCGCTCCGCCCCCTACCAACCCCCCCCCCCCACCCCTCATTACCTTCCCAACCCCTCACCCCTCCTCCATCTATCTCCTTCTCCTCATCCCCTCACCCCTTCTCACCCCCACCTAGCCCCTCCCCTCCTTTCCCCCCCTTCACTCCGGCTTCCCACAACCCTCTCCCCCCCTCCTCAACCCCCCTCTCCCCTGGCTTCCCCTCTCCCTTCTCCCCCCTCCCCCCTTCCTCCCTCCCGTCGCGTAATCTGTCTTCTTCTCATATAAATACTGGGCTTATTCTCCCCGTTTCTTAATCAGTCTCTCGTTCATTTTTTTCCCGGTTATGAATAACCTATATCTTCCCCCTTCTCCCGCAAGTGTTTTTTAAATATCATTGTTTATCCAAAAATCTGGGGAAAAATGTATGCTAAAATCCATAGAACAATAACAGGGGTAATACGTATTCATTCTTCTCGGGCACCATAAGGAGTATATAATCTTTTTTTCTTCTTTGTGTCCTATATCCTATATAATATAATATCATGTATAAGGTCAAAGGGCAGGAGGCGTCGGGTTTGCCCTATTTTGGACGCGCTTCGGCCGAGTTACTCTTCCCTTTCGCACATCCTAAGAAGCTTCAAGGGGAAAGAAAAAACAAGAATCCACTATTACTCCATATATCTCTTTATATATATTTATTATCACTATCAATATTATATATATTGTAATATATATTACTATATACATATTGTACTATCCTATAAAGTAATATAATATAACAACGATATATAAAA